TATTATTATTTATATATATATATATATATATATATATATATATATATATATATATATATATATATATATATATATATATATATATATGCATGTAGGTGAGAATAAATAAGAAGGCGCCAAGTATATTAATCATTGATAAATGATAACCTTTCCGTATTTATTGAATACATGGCATATTGTTTGGGCAATAAGCACTGTTACTCTTATTGTATTATTGGAAATGTCAGTTTTTCTGGCATAATTTGAGCATTAAAAGCTGATGATGACATAGAAGTGATCACTAATAGGGAGAAGAAAATAATGGCTATATGATAAATTGTCTGTATTCTTGACTAACAATGATTGCAAGGAATCATTTAACAGGAATGTTTTTCGCTTTATTCCAGCACAGAAAGAATTGAAACAGAAAAGCAAGCGCAAACAATTGCACTATTTTAGGTAAAAAAGAGAAGTTGGTAACGAACTGAAAACACGAAATCGTGCAATAAACAAGCGCAAAAGCATCATTTTAGAAAAGTTTGATTAAAAGGTATTTTGATAAACAGATGGCTTAACAGATCAGTTGACATATGTTAACTGCATGTAAAAACACAGACAACGCATTTTCGGAAATGATTAGGAGAAAGGTAGGATCAAACCATACGGAATCAAGAACAGAAACTAAAACAATCAAAATACCAGACGTTAGTAATAAATCAGAACCTTCAAAGAAATGGAGAAAACTTGGAAAGGAAAGAAGGAAGATGAAGAATGATATCGATAAAATAATCACTCTTGGTCTTCAAGTGAGAGATGCGTAATTTTAGTGAAATCAAATTCAGTGGTAGTACCACGCTGAAATATGTCTAATACATCTTTACAAGTCGTCTCAAAATGGGTTGTTGGATCATACGAACGCGAGATAAACACTTGCGATTCAGTACCCATATCAATTGGCTCATAGACGTCCGAGACATTTACAAACCTGGAAATTTCTTCTGTATGCTGATATATTCCAAAACTTATAGTTCTACCTACACTCATAACTGAACAAGGCTTATTGACTTTATATGGTAGAAAACTTGAGAGATGTAAACAAACTTCTCGGTAATTGGACCCAACAACTGCAGTCCCGGCAAAATTTCAGCTTCTGGATTATTTGTTTCTACAGTTGTTGAAACCATTGCAATATACCATCCATTTGGTGCCACCATATTGGCATTAGACACCAGAGAAATATAAATATCTGCAATATAATTTAGTGAATTCTATTATTTCCAAGATAACATATGGCACTTTTGAGAAGAAACATGCAGATTATACTAACGAAAAAGGAGATACCGTAATGGCGTCCAACTTGCTTTTGTGGAATAATTATCTGGCAGCTTTGCGCATCGTTGGTGTTTGGTATTGGATGGTTTAGAAGGCAAATGGCCCGAATCACTTGCCCAGTTTTCCTCACTTTATCAGGGACATATGATGGATCACAGTACACCTATAAGACATTTCTATTAATTCTCTAGAATTTTACAACTGTGGAAACCCCGAAAAAATGAAAATAATTAATCAATACAAAACAATTACACAGCTTACCTGCTTGCACTTCGCTATGTCGTCTCCACTCTTCACACCAACAACTTTTCCGTTTTCGTAAACGATACGGTCAACGCGTTTGTCAAGCATGTATGTGCCCCCATAAATTGCACTCAGTCTAAATACGAAACTTTTTTAAACTAACGCCCCTTTCATGAAATACATCCTTTTCATGGCCAAATGAAACAGTATATTAAATAATAATAAGATACTGATGAATAATGAAAAAATTCCATACCGAGCAAATCCTTGCGGAAGTTCGCCAAGACCATAAAGAGGATAAAGATACGGCGATTTCCCATATCGAGCTAACGAATCGGAATACAAACGAATCCTTTCAGCTGTCGGTACAAACAGTTCATTCTTGTAACTGGAATATAATAGAGCTTCACTACAACTTTACAGGAATTGAATTCAAAATACTTGCAAAAACCCTGCTTTGTAAAACTTACTTGTCATCTCGATATAGTGCCAATGCATGACCAGTGAAATCCGCTGTATTTTCATCCAAACCAAATTTGTCATAAACCTGGAAAGAATTTTCAACAAAAATCAAGTGAATTCCAACAGCTTAGTGCCTTACGGCATAATGTGAATCTGAAATTTCGAAAATTTCAAAGTTTCCTGCAAAATTTCTCGAAGCTCTTCTTGCTTATTCAAACAAAGGCAAATATCGCTGCAGAAGTAAATGGACTTACTGCCATATCTTTGACCACTCTATTCCAATTTCAGTTAAACAGGAGAAGATTGAGAAAATTAGTGTAGCGAATAACTAGTATAATGAAAAATTAGTATAGTGAATAAGTTCAGAAAGGTAATATTGTAAAAGGAAGATGAACTGAGTATGAATAAAAAAGTGGAAACAACCTGTTGCATTGTAGTCACATCAGGATTGAAACCCTCGTGCGTAGTCTTGTTGTTGATGTCGAAATTTTGTACCCAAACGAGGAATTTTTTGAAACGTCTCTTTTCAAACATTCCCATCAAATCTGGAACAACGCGAGCTTTTACTTCTCTCCAGGTAAATGTAGCATGAAGAACGAAATCAAAAATTTACATAAAAAGCTTCCTTCGTTTTCGTTGCACGGAAAAAAAGTACAGCATTAAACGCCGACTAAAACATACTTGTAGCTAAAGCTTCCATTTCATCAGCTGGAACTTTGAAAATTTTACCACCTTTGTACACATAAGAGCCCTCAATTGACTTGAATTCAAGATAACGTGTCACGCCCGTATGTATCAAAAGCTGCAATACAACAAAATTGAAGGATGAAGACATGAAATTGTGATCGTAAATTATCCTAACAAAGTACTTTAAAACAAAAGAAAAAAATTGGGAAATTAACCTTGACAAGTGACCCATTTGCCATCAGAAATTTAGGAATCAGATCAACATTCCAATCCCGACCTCTTCCCATATCCGTAGACGGCTTCGCATTCGGTCCTAAAAATTCGATATATAAACGGATTCCTTATAGTTTTTCCAATATATATTCTACAAGTTTTTACAAAATTTTCAAAAAAAAGACATGAAAAACTACTTACCAAAGAACTTTTCATAAAGTTGTTCAAGTGGTGTTAACGAAGCTGATTCACCGCCATAATAATTGTTCTGATCAATGTGGAGTATTTTTTGCCTGATACTGACAACATTCCAGACAGTATGCATTCCTGAAAACTATCAGCTCTCAATTTCAATCAAATCGTTTCGCTGCCACAACTTCCTTATAGAGATGTTAACAATCTGAAGTATAGCGCTTTCGGTTCCATACAATTCAGATAAGCGTGAAATAAAAATGAAACATAAAATTGAAAGTACCTTAAGTCCTGTACCAAGGACGATAGCATCGTATTCCTCATCCATGTTGCCTACACAAATCAGTTCACCTACAAATCAAATTTAAGGTGCGTCATAGCAATTATCCCACGAAACCACGTTGCCTTAGTTATTAGAGTGTTACTCACAGGACATACAAAAACATTCGACAATCCAACTAATATGACAAAAAACGATCTTAATTGCACCAATTTATAACTTCATATTTGTAAAAAGTGATACAAAAATTGAAACTAGATATATTTTGGGAAATCTCAAGACAAACTAAGAAAGCAGAAGAAACGAAGAGATGAATAATCCAAACAGTAAGTAATACTAAATTATTACAGTTGGTCGCGAGATTCTTCATTGTCCTGGGTTGACGTAATCAGAAATTAGCATAAAGCATTAACCACCTCCCAGATTGAAAGCACTCTAACTTAAAATACTGCAGAAGCACTTTGGGAAATAAAAAAGACATCTTCCGCTCATAAATGATGTTATTTGATCTAAAGCATGATGCAGCTTCATCAAAGTGTACAAACAAGAGATAAACAAATGAAAATTGAAACAAACAACAAAGACAGCCCGATATTTCTACGGTAACTGTAAATTTTCAACCAAATTTCAATTATTTTTTATTTGTTATTACACACTGTTTACTCATTGACATTCAAATGAAAATTCAAAACAATTCCAACTCAATTTTCCGCGTAGAACCTGAACTTTTTGCAAAAGTCATTCATTATGAAAACCAGTGGTACAGTCCACATGAAGAACAGCTGGAATGGTAGAGTTTATTTGGAACTGGATAAAAAAAATATCCGGTAGTGGTAAAAGGACAGATGATTTCAAAAGATGAAATAAATCCAAATCTTTAAGTTTTTGAACTTGACCAGCGCAAGCATTTCCCAACATTTTTTATCACTAGACCAAAATGAAGCTACGATTACCATTAATACCATGATATTCAGAAAAAATGATCGGATAGTACAGCACTGAACAATGACTTTTCTCTCTTTTCCTTCCATGACTTTACGAAGTGGACAAATCCATTTTCCTCCAAAACTCATCGCATACAACAAACATTGTAGTTAATTTTTGATGGCAACTAAAGCATAATTTATCGATGTGTTCTGACTCCATGACCAATGATTTGTGAGAGGATTGTAAATCATGCCGTGCAACATACGCACACTACAACCATTTTCTTCCAAAATCATTCGCAAAATTTTCGGTTCAATAAATTTCGACCAACTATGGATACCAGGTGGAACAATGCCCAATACCCTCTAAAATAATTCATTTTGTTAACGACACTTCTAATAAATACTTCATAGTTTTTGCTCCAGTTCAGCAGTAAATTTGATTCAAACATTTGAGTATTTTTGTGAATTCAAGGAAGTTTGCGTATCGACGACCACTTCTATTCGAATAATCCACGAGAATCTCAGATGTTTCCTAATGATTCATATCTACTTTAGGTTAAGAAACTCTTTTTACTTCCTCTGATTCCTTCTGAGCGATTGTCATACTTCTAAATGAGAATATAGTTCAACATAACCTCTGCCATCCAAACAGCCATCACTCGACTAGCAACAGTTTTATTAATGGTTGTAAAGAAGAGAGTACCACTTCTGCGCACCAAGTGAATGCATGATTCCACAAATAATTCCACATCGGCAACATGTTCGATTATTTCGGATGCGACAATTGCATCGAACACTAAAAAGAAAGGGGAAAAAAAATCATTTTACTAACGGATATCAAAAGACACCTAAAAGTTTCCATTTCCTCTTTTAAAATTAATTTTGATAATATATGTCACTAAAGAGTGATTAGAGATAACGTTTTTTGCAGGGCTAGACATATTTCAAATAAAATGAATAGGAGGGACGTAAGAAGAGAAAAGAAACAGGCATAGAAATTAACAATTTTGATTGGCAAAGAAAAAAGTAGACTAGCATAAGCAAATGCAGCAGTACCAAAGAAACTTTACGTAATGAATATGGATCTTATATTAATTCATGTACCTTACTTCCAGCATTTTTTGTGGCAAAATCTTCAACCGATGAACACGTAAATGTTGCTTTGCCTGATCCGCGATTTTCACGACGGAAACGATTTCCTGCTTCTTCTAGTGAAGCAATTACATCAAAGGAGGCATCCAAAGCTTCAACGTTGGCCCCCAACCGCGCCAACGGAAAAGTTAATATTCCACCGCCACATCCAATATCAGCAATGTGTAAACCCGAAAGAGAATCCTGAAATATTAAAATCCAAATTGAAAAGGATGAATCAATTACAGTATCAGAATAAAAACATAAACAGTGCAATACCAAAACTTCGAAAAAAACTACAACTCAGCAGCTGAAGTTAAGAAATTACATGGCCCTGTTCGGTTTTAAGACCAATTGTATTAACAATCAGCGGTAGCCGAAGTCGATTCATGGAATATAGCGCTTTAAAAGTTCCATCTTCCTTCGTCCAGTCAGGCGATAATTTTGCGAAAGCTTTGATATCACTGTCATCAACCGAAGTCGGCTGAGACTGAAGACTCCTTGAATTAACAGAAAAGCGTCGCTTTGTTAAATCCAAAAGCAGATGATGAAGCTTATATGTACAACATATACCTTTTTCAAGCTCAGCAAACATCTGAAGTTTATAGTTCAAGTTCCAAATCTTCTGATCTCAATAAAAAAAAAAAGTTGTTAGTCCATGGCATCTCCTTCCCCTATTGATAAATCAAAAATGGATATGAACCAATAACAGCAAAAAGGAACTATGTACAATATGATTAAATTTTTTACTAATCATAAATAAGCACAAAACCGTTATCACAAAAGCAGTAGTATGAATAAATGAACACGATCTATTACTAATTAAAAGTAGAACTAATTTTTGTTCCTAAGAAAGGTTGACAAGAAATCTTTCGGTTTTGTTTCAACGTTTTCACGGAACAAGACGTTTCGTAAATGGTATGAATTATACCAAGCCTTTTGACACGCCAAAATCACCTGAAATATTTATAAAAAACAATATTTTATCTAAGATTGACATTACTTAAACAACTGTTTCGATGGACATAATTTCAATCCAGAATAACTGCATAATCTTAGACTATTCTACAGTTAAAAAATTTGATAATAAATACTGAAAGCGGTTAGAAACTGTTGAAATTGCAGAACAAAAATCCTAACACAAGTTTATCGTGCAAATTGATGGAAAAAGGGAAAAAAATTGTAAGGAAATACTAAATTTTAAGAAAAAAGTTCTACTTGACGGCATTCTGCGACTTTTCGATCGATAACGCGAAAATCGGTCAAATGTGCATTATTAGTAAATTGTTTTTTTAAAGCTGCCCGAAAAACAGACAGCGGCATATCCTCAAAATGGAATTCTTTGTAGAGTTGCGGCGCATAGCGTTGCCTGAAATGAGCGAAAGAATTAGATAGAAGAAGGAAAACGACCTTTAGTTGACTAAATAATTTTCATAATTAATTAATAAACCGCGCGTCCTACCGTCTGAAGAAAAATCTCAGATATGTAAAAAACCAACAAAAAATGATCTGAAAAAAGTTGACAAATTGCTACATTATATCCATGTCTTCCTCTTTATAGCAAAAAAGAAAAAGTTCAGAAAAGTTTTTATACAACGACCAATTTTAATTTTCAAAATAGGTAAAAACTGCTCCCACAACAGTTCAACACCACCTTTCTACATCAACACCACCTTTCTACACCGCTAATTATCACAGATAAACAAGGTATTATCGTCCCACCGCTCTGTTATGAATAATACTCCTTTCATGGACAGATGCTCAATGCACTTTCAGCCAAAATGCCGCAATATTAACACTATTAATTATGAAAGGGAAATGTCTTCTCGAGGAAATTTTCCCCATTGCAGAGAAACCAATTCTTATAAAAGAAAAAAAAACTGAACGTAAAAGAGATTAATATTGGAACACGCCATAATCTTCGACTTTTTTCCTCTTTAGATCCATTCACAGTAGTCCCAAATTTACTACTGGTAACAACTCTATAAGTGATCAAATTATTTTTTTTTACCAAACAGAGGGTGCACTATCAGTGTAATACCACTGGATACATCCATATATATATATATATATATAATAGACTTGCATAAGTCCGAATCAAAGACAACGGCAAAATGTAAACGACTATGTTATTCTATATATTTGATATCGACAACAAAATTAAATTTGAAAGAAAAACCTAATTATCTACGGGAACTTGCAACAAACAGATGTGTTAATATATAGTAGTGGTGAAAAAGTGACATAAGGTTCTGGTGGAATATTCAGTGAGTGATGAAATAAAACGAGCTGTCATTGTCAGTGGATCAGTCAATGTCAACAGCCAACCACAAGTTAAACACCCACAAAACGAAAAGATATGAGCCGATGAAATTAGTATTTCATTACAAAATAGAAAACCTAAAAACAAATCCTAGAAACAAAAAGAAAGCCTTACCTAATTGTAAAGAAGGCTTAACCATAACAATCACATACTATTTATTTTCGCAACACATTCGTGCTTTAAAAGAACAAAACAAGAAAAATTGACGAACTACAAAAAAAAAAACAAAAAGAAAAAAAAAGAAAACGAACAAGTATATACATATATAGGCAAATATATGGGCTATCTTTCCTGAAAAAGATACTAGGCAACAGCTGCAACATCCCCAGCGATAGCATTTAGGCACTGCATTTTTCGACTCAAACATTAATATCCAAAATCGATTCAGCGTTTCTCATCCAAGCCTGCACACATAGATAAATGCAAGGACGAATAAAAATAACGATTACAACCACTGTGACGACAAGAATGACTGCATTACTGCTACTGCGCCTACCACTGTTACCACCAAATGACTGCATTACTGCTACTGCGCCTACTACTGTTACCACCACGACTACTGCACTACTGCTATCGCAACATTCCAATAACACCAAGTACTTGACCGGTTTGCAAAATGATGACGATATCCTTCCTTCTATAATTCCATGCAGGAAGGAGGATGGATTGTGACAACGTTGAACTGAAACTTCAACGAAACATAAAGCAAGCAAGCAATAACATATTTGCTAATGTCATCCTTTGTGCTTTTCCCATTGTTCCTAACGAATGTTACATGAAGCAATCACTGATAAGAACCAATCAACAAATATGACAAATACTGCTGAGGGTAAAAAGGATCGCGACGTTATGACGGTTTTAAAAACACATCCATCCTCTTCGATGACAGCTAAACATAATTAACTTGCTAATAAGGGAACACAGAAAAACCGTGTTCCTTATACTGACGTGTTTCATGCTACGTAATATAACTGTGCCATAAAGATTGTCAAACCCTGTCTTTATCCTGAACTAATTTTCAATGAGAAAAACAATGACAAGTGAGATAAGGAATATCTTTCATCTCACATACTAAGTACGCAGCAACACTTCTTAATTATTCATAGTCAAAAGACTGGCTAGATTACAATATATCAACGCATGACATGAAATAGGCAGTTCATGTCTTCAGTTTTATGCGAAAAAAAAAATCTTTTTCCTCTCTTTTTTGGTACTCAGCCTGATAATACTTCCGTTTTGTGCCTTTATTTTGATAAATATAGCTGAAATAATCAGTAAAATGGATGCGAGGATTAGGAAAACCGGAAGAAAAGACAAGATTGGAAACGCTGAATCTATACTTTTCCTGAGAGGAACGTAAATTAGAGCATACATTTCTAAAATTTCAATTGATAATGAGAATCTATTACAATAGATTCCAAATTTTTTTCTCTACTTTTTGCTGGTCCATACCAAGCTTGTAAGCTAATACTATGATCCGGACCTGGCAGACGCATGACTTGTCAATCAACATAACCGTATATTCCTAATGAAGCCAAAATGTAATCACCATAACACTCCACCAACCCATCAATTGGTGAGGCTGCGTCGATGGCCAGTTGTTTAATATCAGTATTCCAAATTTTATACCAACGGAGGTCCAGGCAATATACAAGAATTTCAGTTTCAACAAAGATAAGCAGTTTCTTCCCTGTCCTGTCATTTTGTATTACCACTTTAGTTTTCCTCTACTTACTACTTTACTATTTCTTGTTACTGATAGCCAACCAGATATCACTACTATTCCTGAACATAGCTGGGTGATACTTAGTAAATACTCACTAAAAAGTTGCAAGTTCCTTAGAACTCCTGACATCCGTGTTATAGCAAGCCTTTGTCAGGATATGCAAGTGTTAACATATAGTTAACAGTGAACGAAAGCGAGAGAAATTTCCTCACTTTCATATCCAGAGAATGAAAATCAATTGCACAAACGTGATAATTTCCATGGATTGATAATCTGGCCTTATTGCAGTACGAGAATATTAAAGGAACTAACATTTCCTTATATACAGCAAGCACATTTGATCGGCTTTGTGTTTTATTGGCTGAAACAATGGGGACAACTTCACGTGTAGTCGCTGTAACAGTTCTTATCATGCCTGCTGCCATTTTCGTTCAATTCAATGTTTCACCTCGCGATAACTGGTAATTATACAGTCATTCAGGAATAGACCTGACATGATAAGCTGGACTGCCCTCATAGATAATGAAGGCATCTATTTGAATGAAAAAAGTATTGCAGTAAAATCAAAACGGATGCCACTTTTTCTTCATGATATAAAGTTCATAATAAAGACAAGAAATGGAATGAAGAAGTCAGTTATGCAAGTAGTCAAGACATGCAGGGTAAGAACTCACTCTGGCTTCAAGAAATTCCACTTTTCGTTCCAGGAGTGACACCTTATCACTAAGTGTTGCGATTCTGCTCCGACAAGAGAGTTCTGAAAGTATGCACCCTAATAAATTTCATTTCCAACCGCCACGTGATAAACTTTAATTTGTCATTTTAAATGGTAATAAAATGAAAAACGTGAACAAGCAACAATTTGCTGCCATTTGGGAAGACCTAGATTAAATGCTACCTTCTAGTTGTCAGATAAATAGTCGAATATTTACTTCGTCGATGTGATACGACTTTCTAACTAATCATTTGTCACTAAGTGTACCAATTCTGAAAAAAAAAGACCAACCAAAATTACAAAGAAAATCCGCGATATGTCGGATGTTATCGGAAACCACCTGTGCGTATTCACGATTATTCCAGTCTTCTCGTAGTTGCCGCTGTACAAGTGTAACCTTCACACTACCTGCGTTCATTCACCACCTTTAAATCTCCCTTTCCGTCCAGTCTAGAAGGAAAAATTTTTTATGTTCTTTCTGTAACACTTTATCGGTATAACTATGCACGCATGTCGATTAAGAACAGCAAATCTATCTCATATTCTTTCCATATTTTGTAATATTTCATCCGGAAATACGATCATTCCTTAAACCATCTTCTACAGTATCAATTATCCTTAAACTTATGCTAGTCTCATCATTTGATTTTTAATCCCTGAGCTTCTCTCCACCTGAAATACTCTTCGCCAGAAATATCTTACACCTCATCTGAGATAATTTCTGCATACTTGACATATTCACTACAAAAAAACATATGATCACACTTCAGGAAATTCATAAAACCGTTAGATCCTAACCGATTCATGAAACGGAACACACGTTAGCAACCCGTAAAACTCTTTACAACCCATAAAACGCATGAAATGATCACGCTTCAGAAGATCCAATGCCGATGAGCGAAAAACTCACAGAGCTGCAGCATCGTGACTTCGTGTACGCATGTGCTAAGGTACATTGCGCCAATTCAAATTTTTAAAATTCTTAAATCATACCTTAATTTCACCGATTATTGTTCGCAGAACGTGCAATTCCTTTCTTTCTCTCCCTCTCTCTCTCTCTCTCTCACTCTCTCGCTGTCGTTTTCCCTCTATAGCAGCAAAATATGATTTGTGAAGAAGGCATTAGTTATGATGATCACTTCCCTATATATATTTTTTCTCCTGAATTTAAAAATTGTACCAAATTCCGTAAAATGTTCATATG